TGGGTGCATGATGGATGTATGTACAATTATAGCAACGGTGCCAGAATTCATTTTGTGTGTAACAAATGCACTTTGGCACAGTTACCCTTTAGCAATGATGACATTGATTTACCTAATTTTAATACAAATGACCCATTGCCATATATTGATGATTATAATTGTTTTATGAAAACAGGCCTTCACTTTATTCATGTCAACGCAAGATCACTTCTTCCTAAATTGACAGAGATTAAGATTCTAGCTAACAAAATTAGGGCGGCAGCTATAACCATCTCTGAATCCTAGTTGGATGATACGGTGACTGATGACGAGGTCAAAATAGAAGGTTACAATATAAAACGCTTAGATAGGAACAGAAAGGGTGGTGGAATATGGGCCTACATTAGAAATGACTTAGCTTACAACCCAAGACCTGATTTAAATAGCAATAAACTGGAGATTCTATGGTTTGAAGTGCTGCTTCCCAAGACCAAACCCATCTTAGTAGGAACTAGTTACCACCGTCCTACCCAGGACCAGTTCTTAGAAGACTTTTCCAGAGTATTGTCCAGACTTGAAAACAATTGCGAGACAATAATACTGGGCGACTTCAATATCTGTTTTCAGCAGCAAAATAATGGGCTATGCAAAAGGTATAAGCAAATTCTAGGTTTAAATAGTTACACTCAACTAATTAATACACCAACCCGGATCACACAGTTCTCAGCCACCCTAATTGACCACATACTTTGTAACCGCTCTGAGAACATTAGTCAGTCAGGCGTCATTACCACAGGTCTTAGTGATCATTTCATCATTTACTGCACCAGGAAAATCACTAGGGATAGGATAAGCCTACACAGGACAATAAAAATGAGGTCAACTAGAAACTACAGTAAAGAAACACTGGTAAATAGGCTACACAATTGTGACTGGACAGAGATAACAAGTTGCTCGGACGTAAACGATGCCTGGGAAAAATTCAAAAGAATGTTCACTACCATCCTTGATAATATTGCACCAGTTAAAGAGGTTAGGATTAAACGAAGAACTGAACCCTGGATGACTACTGAGATGTTAGATAATATGAAATTCAGAGACCAGCTGCTAAAAAGATTTAAAGCAAACAAACTGGATATTGCAGTACTAGATGAATTCCAAAGGGTGAGGAACAGAGTACAGAGACTTATAAAAGGAGCAAAGGCAAAGCACTATTGCTCAAAAATTGAAGAGTATAAGCATAACCCCAGAAAGCTCTGGCAACAACTAAAACAGTTGGGGTATAGCCATAAGCCAGTAGATAGGTCTAACATAGTACTCACTGTTGATAATGAGGTATGCCACGAAACATCTAAGGTGGCAGATTGCTTTAATTCCTATTACACATCTGTTGCATCAACACTAGTAAGTAAACTACCAGCTGCATCAAATACCTTTAACACAGACTCTGATAAGTTTCAAACATACTATACCAATAAAGGGGTAACCCCAAACAGTTGTCAACTAGTAAGTGTATCTCATGACTTTATTCAAAAAGAACTAAGCAGGTTAAACCCAACTAAGAGCACAGGCCCTGATAACATCCCATCTAAGTTCCTAAAAGATGGTGCTTCTGAACTGTCAATCCCTATTGCTCACATAAATCTATCAATCACCACTAATACCATACCTGAGGGGCTCAAGGAGGCCAGAGTTACTCCTATCTTCAAGAAAAATAGTAGGTCTGATGTCAGCAACTATAGGCCTGTTAGTATACTCAGTATAATATCCAAAATTCTAGAGAGGGCAGTGTACTCTCAAGTAAGTTAAGTACCTTAATGACAACAACATTCTCCATAGCTATCAATTGGGCTTTAGAAGATCTTACTCAACCGACACCTCCCTAATTAATCTGATGGATTACCTGAGAACTGAAACGTCAAAGGGGAACCTCATAGGTATGGTAACCTTAGACCTGCAAAAGGCCTTCGATACTGTCAACCACAATATATTATGCAAGAAACTAAAAGCTATCGGTATAGGTTCTGTAGACTGGTTTAAGTCCTACCTTAGCAACAGGAGACAAATTGTCAAAATCAACAAAATGGAATCAGAACCCCTGCCGATAGCATGTGGAGTTCCCCATGGTAGCATTCTAGGTCCCTTATTATTCTTATGTTATGTCAATGACATGCCTATCAGTGTCAAGTGCAAACTCCTACTGTATGCAGATGACAGTGCCCTGTTAGTGTCAGGTAAAGACCCACAAGATATAGCTAATGTTTTAACACTGGAACTGGAGCCCTGCAGAAAATGGTTAGTAGATAACAAACTATCATTACACCTCGGGAAAACTGAAGCCATTCTCTTTGGCACGAAACATAAACTGAGAAGGGTAAATAATTTTAATGTCCAGTGTAATGGGGAGCCCATCACTTTGGTTTCATCAGTAAAATATTTGGGAATCCCCTTTGACCCATGCATGTCAGGAGAATTGATAGGAAACAGTGTAGTAAAGAAAGCAAATGCCAGGCTGAAGTTCCTGTATAGACAAGCACAGTGTCTACCTACTGAGGCTTGCAGGACCCTATGTCTAGCCCTTATACAATGCCATATGGATTACGCTTGCTCTTCATGGTACGCTGCCTTGACAAAAAAACTGAAAGATGGACTGCAAATCACCCAGAACAAAATCGTAAGATTCATCCTGTGGCTGGGACCAAGAGAACATGTAGGCCAGGATGAATTACAGCAGTTGGATATGCTGAATGTTGAAGACAGTAAAACAACTGAAGCTAAATCATGTTTATAAAATTGCTCACAAACAGTGTCCAGAATATCTTGCTGTCAATTTTGTCAAGGTTGGGAACCAAAGCAATCATAATACTAGGGGGAGAGAGCACAACTTTGTAGTACCCACAGTCATTGGCCAGGCTTCAAACACCTTTTATTGTACAGCAATAAAGGAATGGAACAGACTGCCTGCACATGTCAAAGCCAGTCATAGCATGAACCAGTTCAAGAAGAGTGCCAAAAGGTGTCTGATGAATGTAGCTACAGAAAGGGAGGGGAATGATTTTCTATTTTTTTAGCTAACATACGTGTAAATTTTACCTTATTCCTTGTAATGACCCTCGTATTGTAGATAATCTTAATGACCCTCGTGTAGTAGATAGTCTTTTTAGTATGATAATAAGATGTTATCTTCATTATAGAATAATAAGAAAATATTATAACCTTTATATTATAATAATAAGGTAAAAGGACCCCAATGGAAATAAGTCACTCTGTCTGACTTTTTTGGGTTATCCCAGGTTCTCTACACATATGCTGCTATGTATGATAATTCTATGTAACTGTATTTGTGTATACCTGAATAAACTTACTTACTTACCGACCTGACATCAGACCACTGAGCATTTGAACAGTCAGTCAGATCATAGCACTAACTCTGATCGGGTCTTCAACCCAGAGATCTTAACTTGGTCAATAATTCTAGATCATGTCTATTGTCTTAACTTTGCTGTTATTTCCAAGAGTCTGATAACCCTTCTCTTTAAGAAGGTTAACTGATTTGCTTCCTTAAAGTTCCCATAGTAGTTCTTATTTGGACTCTTCATTGTAATTATTGTATTATGCTTAATCCATAAGGATTTGAACATAGAATTACGTTCCTCATTGTACAGTCTCATTTCATTGATAATAGTGAATTGTCATTTTAATTCACTGACTGGATACCAATAAAGGTTCATAATTGGTAGTAAATAAAACTAACCAAAAAGCAAAACTAAGTATTTATTCCTCTATTGCTGCGGCATAGAGCAAGTCATAACAGTAGTAGTAGTAGTAGTAATAGTAGTGGTAGTAGTAGTAGTAGTAATGCTAGTAGTAGTAGTAGTAATACTAGTGGTAGTAGTAGTAGTAGTAATGCTAGTAGTAGTAATACTAGTGGTAGTGGTAGTAGTAGTAGTAGTAATGCTAGTGGTGGTAGTAGTAGTAATGCTAGTGGTGGTAGTAGTAGTAGTAATACTAGTGGTAGTAGTAATAGTGGTAGTAGTAGTAATGCTAGTGGTGGTAGTAGTAGTAGTAATACTAGTGGTAGTAGTAGTAGTAGTAGTAATGCTAGTGGTGGTAGTAGTAGTAATACTAGTGGTAGTAGTAATACTAGTGGTAGTAGTAATACTAGTGGTAATAGTAATACTAGTAGTAGTAGTAGTAGTAGTAGTAATACTAGTGGCAGTAGTAGTAGTAGTAGTAGTAATGCTAGTGGTGGTAGTAGTAGTAATACTAGTGGTAGTAGTAATAGTGGTAGTAGTAGTAGTAGTAGTAATGCTAGTGGTGGTAGTAGTAGTAGTAATACTAGTGGTAGTAGTAATAGTGGTAGTAGTAGTAGTAGAAGTAGTAATGCTAGTGGTGGTAGTAGTAGTAATAATACTAGTGGTAGTAGTAATACTAGTAGTGGTTGTAATAGTAGTAGTAGTAGTAGTAATGCTAGTGGTGGTAGTAGTAGTAATGCTAGTGGTAGTAGTAATACTAGTGGTAGTAGTAATACTAGTAGTAGTAGTAGTAGTATTAATAATACTTGTGGTAGAAATATCAACTGTTTACAATAAATACGTTATAAAAGCTTATTGCTTGGGTAACATAAAAATCAGTTGGACAAATATTTATGTTAGTGGTTGCTCTACTGTGATATTCTTGTATAGTACTAGCAGCAGCCATCACATAGTTGCTGCCATATATGCCCTCTGTGTCCATTAGTTGCACTTGTGGTTTTTTACTTAACATAATGTCTGTATTTCTACCAACTTTAATACAATGATAGACCTTGCCTAGCATGGTCTAGTAGACATATGGTGCACATGTTAGACCCTGCCTACCATGGTCTAGTAGACATATGGTGTACATGATAGACCCTGCCTGCCATGGTCTAGTAGACCTTTGGTGTGCATGATAGTCCCCACCTACCATGGTCTAGTAGACCTAGTGTTATGTTGTATAAGTGGTCATAATACCTGTGTGGATAAATTTACATTTTTCAGGTGTGCATGTTAGTGGAGGGTCAGCGTATGAGAGGTAAGCTACTGCAGGAGGACAGAGAAGAGGCAGAAAGTTGTCAGTTTACGTCAGTACCTCCACAAGAGAGACTTAGACACATCACCAACTTCATGAACTTGGTTCATGCTTACAACACTCCCATCCTCAGAGACCTCAACTGTACTCTCGCTCAAGAGGTAAATAATAATGGGGATTGGCAGCTCAAAGGCACCATCTTTTAGGAACTTCAGTGGGATGTTATCCGGGCCAGTGCTCTTAGTTGGGTTTAACCTGCTTAGTTCTTTTTGTACGAAGTCATGAGATACACTTACTAGTTGACAACTGTTTGGGGTTACCCCTTTATTGGCATAGTATGTTTTAAACTTATCAGAGTCTGTGTTAAAGCTATTTGATGCAGCTGGTAGTTTACTTACTAGTGTTGATGTGACAGATGTGTAGTATGAATTAAAACAATATGCCACTTTAGTTGTTTCGTGGCATTCCTCATTGTTGATATTTAGTACTATGTTAGATCTATCTACTGGTTTATGGCTATACCCCAACTGTTTTAGTTGTTGCCAGAGCTTTCTGGGGTTATTCACGTACTCTTTGATTTTTGAGCAATAGTGCCTTGCCTTTGCTCCTATTATAAGTCTCTGCACTCTGTTCCTCACCCTTTGAAATTCATTTAGTACTGCAATATCCTGTCTGTTTGCCTTAAATCTTTTTAGCAGCTGGTCTCTGAATTTTATATTATCTAATATCTCAGTAGTCATCCAAGGTTCAGTTCTTCTTTTAATCCTAACCTCTTTAACTGGTGTGATGAATGGTTTTGAAAATAGACAATTTGAAGAATTGAGACACTTATGCAACATATGGGAAACTTTATTGAAGAAATGTTTTGCCACACATTGGCTTCATCAGTCTTATACAAAGCAGGAAGGTATAAGAGAGGAGGAGTTTGAGATAATCAGTCCCTCAGCCTGGAGTCGATGTGTCCAGTCCATCAATCTTGTAGAAAGTACAGCATAGAGCTGAAGCAGTGGCTTATATACTGTAGTCAGGTGAGGCAAAGCAGGAGGAGGCAGGGTCATAGTGGAACCATCCACTAGTCTAAGTAGGTATTCGTCCAAAGATTGGACAAGTTTTGAAGAATTCTTTGTATCAGGATCCCATTATGATGCAGTGTCTGACAGATGTGATGAATGGTTTTGAAAACCAACAAGTTGAAGAATTGAGACACTTATGCAACATGTGGGAAACTTTATTGAAGAAACATTTCGCCACACAGTGGCTTCAACTTGTCGGTTTTCAAAACCATTCATCACATCTGTCAGAAACTGCATCATCATGGGATCTTGATACAAAGAATTCTTCGAAACTTGTCCAATCTTTGAACGAAGACCTACTTAGACTAGTGGATGGTACCACTATGACCCTGCCTCCTCCGGCTTTGCCTCACCTGACTACAGGTGAGGCTTTGTATAAGACTGATGAAGCCACTGTGTTGCAAAACGTTTCTTCAATAAAATTTCCTGTATGTTGCATAAGTGTCTCAATTCTTCATCTCTTTAACTGGTGCAATATCATCAAGGATGGCAGTGAACAGTGTTTTGAATTTTTCCCAGGCATCGTTTATGTCTGTGCAACTTGTTATCACTGTCCAATCACAATTGTATAGCCTATTTACCAGTGTTTCTTTACTGTAGTTTCTAGTTGACCTCATTTTTATTGTCCTGTGTGGGCCTGTCCATTCCCTAGTGATTTTCCTGGTGTAGTAAATGATAAAATGATAAATAAGGCCTGTGGTAATGAGAGAATGAGTAATGGTAATGAGAGAATGGGACAGTTCAGTGAGTGTGCATCATATAAAAAAATCTTGTCCCTATGCAGTGCATGACAGGAGAAACAGAACTGTGGATATGTATGGTTTAACCCTTTCAGGGTCCCCAGGCCCTTTCCCAGACTTGTTCTCAGGGTCGCCCAAATTTCAAAAGAAATGTTTTTTTCTTATTAAAAGATAGAGAATCTTTTCCCAATCATAATGACACCAAAATTATGAAATTTGATGGAAAACGTACAGAATTATGCTCTTGCGAAGTTAGCGGTCTCAACGATGTTTATGCATCGGCGATTTTGCTGACTTCGAGCCCTATTTTCGGCCAATTTCAGTGTACTAGTCGACAGAAATCATAACTATTTCGCTAGAGCTCCATTTTTTCTATCGAATGAGTACAAGAAACCACCCATTTACCGATTTCATCTATCCAATAAAGTGGTCAGAATTTAGCAATTTTGCCAATTTCACCAAGTTCAAAGTCATGAAAATTGGGGAAGGCCATAGAAGACAGTAGGTGAAGTACATACTACGGGATGAAAGACTTCAATCCTCACTCAAGAGTAAAGATCTTGGGGTGAGTGTAATACCAAGCACATCTCCTAAGGTGCACATCAACCAAATAAATGCTACAGCATTTCGACACCTTGGTAAGGAATCGTTCAAGACTCTGTACCTCAAGTATGTCAGGCCCATATTGGAATATGAATCACCAGTATGGAACCCACACCTGGTCAAGCATGTCAAGAAATTAGAGAAAATGCATAGGTTTGCAACAAGACTAGTCCTGGAGCTAAGGGGCATGTCCTACATAGACAGGTTAAGGTTAATCGACCTGACGATATTGGAGGACAGGAGGGATAGGAGGGACATGATAACTACATGTAAAATACTGTGAGGAATTGGCAAGGTGGACAGAGACAGGATGTTCCTGAGATGGGACACAGCAACAAGGGGTTGCAACTGGAAGTTGAAGACTCAGATGAGTCACAGGGATGTTAGGAAGTATTTCTTCAGCCATAGAGTTGTCAGGAAGTGATACAGTCTCGAGAGTGATGTAGTGGAGGCAAGATCCATGCATAGCTTTAAGAAGAGGTATGATAAAGTTAATGGAGCAGGGAGAGAGTGACCTGGTGGTGACCAGTGAAGAGGCTGGGCCAGGTGCTGTTACTCAACACCTGCAACCACAATTAGGTGAGGACACACATACATACACATGTGCATACAACTTTTTTTAGGACTCCATACATGACATCTAGTAGGCTTTTCATAGAGTATTCATTAACACCATTGAACCCTGAACTGAGCAGATATGTTCAAAAACTAAAAAAAACGTTCAAAGGTTTGCAGCAAGACTAGTGCCAGAGGTAAGGAGATTGAGTTATAAGAAAAACTAAAGGAACTGGAATTTATTATTTTAGAAACAAGAAGGATTAGGAGAGACATGATCATGTAGTTTTAAAAATGGGTTACATAAATACATGAGCGGGTGTGGGTGGGTGTGAGTTGGACCTGACTAGTTTGTGCTGCTGGGTCTGGTGCCATGCTCCTTCCTTGAGTGGAGGTGGCCAGACTGGGTGGGTCATTGGGCTAATCTGGGGGGCAGGACATGGGTCGGTAGACCTGTTGCAGTGTTCCTTCTTTCTTATATTCTTAAGATATTTGACATAGTAGTACATAGAAGTACAGTGCCTGCACTCTGAAGGAGGGGTGTTAATGTTGCAGTTTAAAAACTGTAGTGTAAAGCACCCTTCTGGCAAGACAGTGATGGAGTGAATGATGGTGAAAGTTTTTCTTTTTCGGGCCACCCTGCCTTGGTGGGAATCGGCCAGTGTGATAATAAAAAATAATAATAAAAATTTGACATAGCAGTTAGTGACAGATTTTTTAAATAAAAGAAATAGGAGCCAGGGTGTTTGATCACTTATATATATATATATATATATATATATATATATATATATATATATATTTTGTAGTGTGTCACCAGTTGGTACAGTGGAACCTCTGGTCACGACCATAATTCATTCCAAAACTCTAGGTCGTGACCGGATTTGGTCATGACCTGAACCTAATTTCCCCATTGGATTGTATGTAAATATGAATTATCCGTTCTATGAACTGTATGTAAATATTGTTTTTTTAAGATTTTTAAGGACAAAAATAAGAAGAAAAATAAGATTAATAATAAGAAAATTGTCAGAGTGGGAAGTCTGAATGTGTGTGGATATTGTGCAAATGATAAGAAAGAGATGATTGTGGATGTTATGAATGAGAAGAAGCTGGATGTTCTGGTTTTAAATGAAACAAAGCTGAAGGGGGTGGTGAGTTTCAGTGGAGAGGAATAAATGGGATTAGGTCAGGGGCTTCAAATAGAGTTAGAGCTAAAGAAGGAGTAGCAATAATGTTGAAGGATAAGTTATGGCAGGAAAAGAGGGACTATAAATGTATTAATTCAAGGATTATGTGGAGTAAAATAAAGGTTGGATGTGAAAAGTAGATTATAGTAAGCGTGTATGCACCTGGAGAAGAGAGAAGTGTAGAGGAGAGAGAGATTTTTGGAAATGTTGAGTGAATGCGTGGGGAGTTTTGAACCAAGTGTGAGAGTAATGGTGGTTGGAGATTTCAATACTAAAGTGGGCAAAAATTTTATGGAGGGAGTAGAAGGTAAATTTGGGGTGCCAGGAGTAAATGAAAATGGGGAGCCTTTAACCCGTAAACGGTCCAAACGTATATATACGTTTTTTCAACATTTGAAAGCATGTAAAAAAAGTAGATCTTCTTTTTGTTTTTCTACATTTGAAAATGTGTAAAAAACTTTGATCTACTTTCTTTTTTGTTATATTTGAAAATATGTGAAAAAAACTTAGATCTACTTTTGTAGCACTACACATGTGAACGTAGATCTGCTTGGACCGTTTACGGGTTAATTGAGCTATGTGTAGAAGGAGGTTTGGTAATAAGTAATACATATTTTATGAAGAAGAGGATAAATAAATATACAAGGTATGATATAGCACGTAATGAAAGTAGTTTATTAGATTATGTATTGGTGGATAAAAGGTTGATGGGTAGGCTCCAGGATGTACACGTTTATAGAGAGACAACTGATATATCGGGTCATTATTTAGTTGTAGCTATAGTTAGAGTAAGAGGTAGATGGGAAAAGAGGAAAATGGCAACAACAAGCAAGAGGGATGTGAAAGTGTATAAACTAAGGGAGGAGGAAGTTCTTGTGAGATATAAGCAACTATTGGCAGAAAGGTGGGCTGGTGCAAGTATGAGTAGTGGGGGGGTTGAAGAGGGCTGGAATAGTTTTAAAAATGCAGTATTAGAATGTGTGGCAGAAGTTTGTGGTTA